CAGCGGCATGCGATTCTCTTATCACGATGTATTGGCAGCTCAGTATTTCACATAGAAGAAAATGATGCAATGGTTGATACCTATGAAATGCACGTTGCATGCGCAGCAATTCAGAAGATAAGATAATCCTAACTCCCACAAGTGCGAAAGGGCGCAAGTATAGTATGCCCGTTTTATGCACTATCGCCAGGTCTATCGTAAGACGAAGACAAATAGGATTTCGATGAAAACCCCTTTAAAGATCAATCAGGCATTTCTGAACCCTATATTGCGCAAGTTAATTTAAAGGCCTCTGTGTCTGTCATTCCTCCTAATATATAATGGTAGGATTTGGCCCTCGTGTATGTCGATTATATTGCAGGGGTCATGAGTGCTGATTGATTGATAGACTATCAGCATGCACCGTCGTCAGATATGTACCACCAACAATGGCCGAATGTGGAGTGAAGATATCGCGGAGAAGGATTGGGGGGTTATCCAGAGCTCATCGGAACTTGAAGCATTACACATAGCAAATCATGGCTACGGACTTCGTTTCGCAATGCTCAAAGTGATTCGTCTGACCCACCGAGAAGAAAGTCCAAGAACGACTCCTCATGTCATACAGTATCGTGAACACCATGTCATAACCAAACCCCCAATCCCTATCCCTCAACACCAAAAGAACACCACATTCCCCTCAACCCCCATCAACGCCGTCCATAAGCACCCCCCTCATCCCTCCTCTCCGTCCTCTTAACCGCCTTAAACCCCAAACTCCCCGCCTTCCTCCTCCTCCCCCCCTCCACCACCACCTCACCCCTCTCCCCATCCCCCTCCCCATCCAAAACCTTCCTCCTGCCATACAACTCCATATCCTTAGCATCATCATCATGCCTTCTATCATACTCGCTCTCCCGACTAAACAACGCCATCATATCCTTCATCGTGAGATTCTTGATGGCTTTCCCACCTTCGATAGCGGCGTTGGCGAGTTTACGCTTGGCTTCCTGCAGCTCGAGGATACGTTCTTCGACGGAGTTGTGGATGGAGAGGCGGTAGACGGTTACGTCGACGGTTTGGTTGAGGCGGTGGACGCGGTCTATTGCTTGTTCTTCTACGAACTATTTGTATGTTGGTTAGTGAATTGTTCTTGTGGCATGAAGAGAGGTGGAAAGAGAGGTACAGAAAAGAGATATACATACCGGATTCCAAAACGGCTCCATAATAACCACCCGACTAGCAGCCGTGAGATTAAGCCCCAGACTCCCGCACTTCAAACTACACAGCAAAACTCTTGTACGCTTATCTTCACGCAGCTTCTGCAAACTGGCTTCGCGCAGGTCGTTGCGCATGCTGCCGTCGTAGCGGGTGAAGTTGTAGCCTGCGCGTTTGAGGAAGGGCTCGATGAGGTCGAGCATGGATGTGAATTGTGAGAAGACGATGACTTTGTGCTCACCGGTTTCTTTTTCGAGGATGGCGAGGAGTTGGCGGATTTTGGTGGAGGGGACGAGGGAGGAGGCGTTGTAGGAGGCTTCTGAGGTTGAGGAGTCTGAGGCTGAGGCGTCTGTGTCGTCGTCTTCGGAGTCGGTTGCAGAGTCGTCTGAGCCACTGTCACTGCCGCTGCCATTCTCGCTCTCGCTGTCGGCCTCCTCGTCGTCTGAGTCGAGACTGATGACTTTTTGTGGCTTCTTCGCTAGCTTCTTACGAGCAACAGGCGCGCCGTCTTCGCTGTCAGTATCGTGAACGACGAATGAGTCAAGGTTGCTTTTGCTCTCATCCTCAGTCTCGGATGCGTCAGAGTCCACAGTAGCAAGAGTATCGCCACCGCCTTCTGCATTCTCGTCATCGGTACCGCCAGCCTTGCCCAGGTCTTCAGCGTTTTGCTGATCTTCAGGGACGAGCCACTCGCCATCCTCTTCTTCGTCGTCACTGTCGACAACGACGCGACGGTTGCGAGAATGCTTGGCTGCGGTTGATTGCGGCGCGTCTTCTTCGTCATCGGAGTCTAAAACTGGCTTTGGCTGCCGGTGCTTCTTGCTCTTGCCCTCCTTGTGCTTGTGTTTGCGGTGTTTCTTCGATTTGTGCCTATCGATGGTTAGTATGTGGCATTACTGGGACTTTGCTTGAGATAGGCTTACTTCTTCTTAACAGACCCGTTCAGATCCTCCTCGCACTCTGTACAACGTACTCCGCCAGCAGCTGTATTATCACTGGTAAGTGTATTCTGACAGATGTCACAGCGCTTGGTCGCAACACTAAGACCGCCCAAGAGATCTGCGAGGTCATCGGCGTCGTCCTTGGCTACCTTTCGAGGGGTTTGAAGACCAGCTGCAGCATTCGACTTCGAGCCGGTTGTCAAAGCATCCTTGTCATCCTTGACGTTGCTCTTCGTCAGGTTGGGATGATTGCAAGCCTGGCGCAGACGGAGGAGCAACACCAACGCTCCAATATAATCCTGCTTCTCGCCACCCATCATCTCATCAAGACGTGCTTGTGTGCGGTCTCGTAACCGGTCGTAGAAAATGCGCTCCTTGTTCGTGAACTCTCCTATGATAGTCTCGACGTTGCGCGCAACAATGTGGAAGGCCGGCCTCTCCTCGCCCTCCTTGGCTTTGCCGCCAAAGTTCAACGCACCCTCCTTTCGCAGCACGTCCTTCGTACGACGCTTCATGAAGGCACGTAAGAAGACCTGGAGGCGCTTCATGGCGAGATTGCCGCGACCGTTCTTCATTGGCTGCGCGATAGACTCTTTCCAAGAAGAGAGTTCACAGTAAGGCTGGATGCGGAGGAACTTGATCAGACTCTGTAGCTCGTCGATGTTATTCTGCATTGGTGTACCAGTAAGGCACCATCGGTAATGCGAGCGAAGCTCGTAGCAAGCTTTGGCCATCTTGGTCGTACGGTTCTTGATGGTATGCGCCTCATCCAGCATGATGCGATACCAAGAGACGGCGAAACAGCCCTTCTTCAGACCATCAGGGCCATCACCACACTTCGCGAAGTCGGTAGCCAAGCTGTTGAAGGTAGTGATAACGACGTCGTACTGCTTCAGCTTCTCAGCGGACTCTGTGCGGTTGGGGCCGTGGTGTACGAGGACTTTGAGGGCGTGCGACTTGGCGACCTTGCTCTTGATCTCAGCCTCCCACTGCTTGATCAGAGCCAGAGGAGCGATGACAAGAGTGCCTTTGCCGGTGGAGTCGGAGATCTTGTTCTTCTTGTTCTCGGGCTCAACGCCCTTCTCCGGTCGAGGGTTGGAAAGAATCAGGGCGAGAGATTGCACAGTCTTTCCCAGCCCCATATCATCTGCCAATATACCGCCCTTGGGCAGCTTGGCCTTCTTGTTGTGGTTTCCGGTCTCCTTCTCGATCATCCACGCGACACCATCGACTTGATGAGGCAGGAGCTTCACCTTAAGACCCTCGACCGTTCCATCGTCTTCTTCCTCTTCCTCCTCTGGTTCAGCCTCTGCCTTGGCCTCTTCGTCCTTGACGGCGAGCGCCTGTAGTCGGTCCGCCAGGGAATTGCCAGCGTCATCCTCTTGCTGCTTCTTCTTCTTACGAAGTCGCGTCCTGGGGATCTTCTCGTCTTCCTCGAAAGCACCCTCAAGCAGCGCTTTGATGTTCTCGCTTGCCGCACCAGAGTCGACATACGCGTACGGGTCGGGCTCGCCGAACCGTCCACCCTCGGCTCGAATAGCCGCGTCTGGGTCGAAGTTGTCCTCATCGTCTAGAATGATTGTCTGCCGCGCCTGTTGTAGCGGGTTGTGCACGCCCTTGTTCAACGGTTGGAAGCCATCAGCATGGCCCATGGACGAGTATATCGGTCGCGGGGGAGGATGGCTGGTCTTTGGTGCTGGGTTGTATGGCCGTGGGATCGGTACTGAGGCGCCTTGAGACGGGCGGGGCTGAAACTGCGAGGCATCGATCTCAAAGATGTCGGAACCGGTAGATGAGGTAGACGCTGTGCTGTGGCGCGAACCTGACTGTGCGGAGGGGACTTTGAAAGGTCGGTTGAGTGTATCCCTGCTACCACTCGAGGCTGAGCTCTGTGACGGCCTAGAAGGCGCCGAGTATTGAGACGGTAGCTTGGTCGTCTGGCTGTGTTCGGGCCGCATCTGGCCTGGCTTGGGCTTGTTGAAGAGGTGTGCAAACTGCTCGCTCCGGTCCTTCTTCAGCGGGTTCCTCAGCGGGCTTGTCTCGCCAAACTGAGGGGCTGGGTTTCGTAGGTCTTGTAGAGGCTTAGGCGGGGGTGCGTTTCCATCGCGTGGCGGTTGAGCCATGGGAGGCTCTCGCTCACGCACCATCTTGAGGCGGGACTGAAGGACTTCCTTTTGTGTGGGATGGCTCGCCGGGCTCTCGATGTCGTCAAAGAGATTGCTCGAGTCGCCGAGTAGAGAGGTCGACTGTTCGTGAGGGTAGTCGCTATCGTCTGACGTGTAGGCGTGGGCGGTGGCCGCTGGGGTTTTGAGAGCGGGCTTCTGGGCGGAGGAAAGGGTGTCGATCGGTCGGAACGGCGCACGGTGTCTCCGCTGACTACTATGCATGGACTGGTGTCGTCTTGTCACTCGGATAGTCTTATCGCGAGGTGTCTGAGTTGTCGCGATGGAAGTGCCCCTCGTATTGTTGCCAAATTAGGCGGCCGGCACAGTTGATGTTGCTAGGGCAAAGGGTAAAAGCGGGGCGTCTGACACGTGGGCCACGCGTAAACAACAACGCGCTATCACAGGATCTACCGCACGTGGAACTCAGGGTCTCCATCTATCTTCATCCAACACAGACCGTGCGTCTCGACGGCACCATCTCACGACACTCGCCATTGGCATGGTTCAGTCGTAACAATGTACCACTGCAAGTAAAACACTCCAGGCCCTAGTCTCAGAGATGCGTCGAAGAACGGCCCTGGCAGTGGCACGGTTGGAAGGAATGCATCCATGTAACTGGTAATGCGCATGATGGCTAAATTACAATAACAAAACACCAAAAGAATAAAGGAACTAACAGGGTTCCGATGTGCGGCCCTCACATCTTCACCCAGACGTCTTCCTGTTTCTGCCTCCTCTTCGCTTCGCGCGCAGCCAGTATGATCAGTCCTCCAGCAACCAACACACTCCCCGAGAAGGCTTGCGCACCGGTATACGAGCCTCCACTCGACGTGATGATAGCACCACAGACAGGCGAGCCTATCAATGCGCCAACTCCAATAGCCGCGAACACAATGCCAAACGAAGCTCCCATCTTCGATGTATCCGAGATGATGATAGGGACGATGGCCAGGGAGAGTGACTGAACTCCACCCACAGAAAGACTGTAGAAAGTCGTCCAAACGTAAAGCCCGGGCGTGGAGTGTACCGGGACCCAGGTATACATGCAGAGTGCAGAGCAGAAGATGAATGTGATGTAGACATTCATCGTGCCGCAGTATCGGGCGATCAGGCTGGGTAGCAGTCGACCTGCGAAGCCGATGCCATTGAGAACCAAGGTGAGGTTGAGGGATTCGGTGTATGACATCCCCCGCTTCTCGCGCGCGTACGAGCTGAGGAAGAAAAACGGGAAGAACACGCCCAGGAAGGCCTGCAGATCTGTCAGTAAACGCGTCCCTACCATCCGGAATGGGTAGACCAAACAAAACTTACCAAAAAAGACCCCACAAGCAGCAAATTAAACGCCCCCTCCCTAAACACACTCACATCCAACAACGGCCCCTTCCTCCTCACCACCTTCCTCGGTCGCCCACATACCAAAGTGACCGCAAAAGTCCCCAACTGAATAAACCCAATCGCCCTCAACGTCCACCCAAACCCCACACTGGGCAACAACGTCCTAACCATAGACGGATACACCAACCCGCCCGTCACACTCCCACACGCCGCAATCCCCGTCACCAGCGGCAACCTCCTCTTAAAATAACTCGTAACAAGCGTCGACATGGGCGTAAGCAAACACCCGTTTCCCAGTCCCGTACACACGCCCTGTGCGAGGAGTACTTGCCAGTACGTCTCGGACAGGGATGTCATGAATGTGCCGAGGACGACGAGGAAAGCGCCTGTGAAGGTTACGGAGCGGTAAAACCCGGCGTCTGTGAGGCGCCCGCTTATGATGCCGGTGAAGAAGAGGAGGAAGACGGCGAGGGAGCCTATCCAGGCGATTGTGGAGCGGGTTTGGTGGAGCGTGGTTACGTAGTAGCTTTGGAAGACGCCGAAGGAGATTATCATGCCCCTGTGAATGTGTTGGTTAGGGGGGTGATTGGTGGTGGGAGGGGAGGGAAGGGGGGAAGTACCATGTGTTCATTATTGCGAGGAAGAATGCGAGGACTGCTAGCCAGGCGACTAAGCCTCCTTCTGGTGGTTCTTGAGCGATGATTCCGTCTTCGGGTTGTTCCTCGATGCTCGTGCTTGAGGATGGTAGGGTGGCTGATTCGGTATCTTCGTGTTTCGGTTCGCCATGACTTGGTGCTTGCGGAGAGACTTTACTCTCATGTTCGTCTCTGGTCTTTCTTTCAAACATGATCTCCTACTCTGAGTTCAGAATTGCCAAGTAAGGAGTGTCGATCTTGGGCTGTTCTAGCGGATGCGTGATACCAGTGGCTGGGATACATAGAACTATATATACTCTCCCATTACGGACCTGCACGTACGAGATGAGAGAATTGTTCCCTCATCGGCGAACTTGTACGGATTGATAATCAGCATTCAAAGACGGCTTTGCCCGAGGATGAGCCAACTCCTGGTCTAGGTGATCGTGGCGCTAGACCGGATGTGGTATCAAAAGCCGACCCATTGTGTTTTCCATATACACAGACTCGGTGTTCCGCTCGGTGGCAGAGATCGTGACAGAATGCAGAAATTTCTCGTTGGGTTGCGTTGCTGCTGCCGAGTTGTCTCGGGATTTGGCTGAGAGAAATGTAATGTTTGCTGTGGTGCGCTTCAATGAATACATGCGCGTGTTGTTTGAATCATCTATCATTAAGCCTTCGATTTGGAAAGGAAGCATAATGCTGAGACCACAAAACGATTTGGATACATCAAGATATAGTGTAGATGTGTTTATTATCACTACAACATTCTACACCTATCGAACCATGCAAGGCTCAACTACCACTAATACATCTCTGAACACCCCATCATAGCCTCTTCCCTCCCTCTACAGCTCAATTGATCTCCACAGCCTCACCAGGCCTCAACCACCTCACCCTCTCCAAAACACCCTCCTCCTCAAACTCCCTTGCAAGCCCATCACCCCCCTGCTTAAAATGATCCCACGACTCATAATGCATAGGCACCAGCACATCAGCCTTCAAATCCTTAAGCAGGTGAGCCGCCTGCCGACCATCCATAGTAATCTGTAAAGCATCGCCTGGTTGACCCGGCTTGCCCTCCTCAGTGAACTCGTAGAAGGTCGCTTTACCGCAGTTCATGATCGCGACACTGATGTGGTACTTGTCCGCTATCTTCGCGAGCTCTTCGATGTAGACTGTGTCGCCGGAGAAGTAGATTGCGTTTGGACGGCCGTCTGCTGCGACGCCGAAACTTTCGGTGTGCAGGACGAAGCCGACGCATTCGTGGCCGGGCCAGTGCTTGCAGGGCGTAGCAGTGATGTGGAATGTCGTCCCTGCGATCCGCACGTCTCTTTCTTGCCAGTCACTGAACCCGAGGACACTCGGCCGCGGTGCCAGATTCTTCGCGCCATCGTTGGTGGTTACGACGTGGCGGCCGTCGACGATTCGACGTCCTAAGTCATCGAGGTTGTCGGGGTGGTTCTCGTGGCTCAGGAGGATGGCGTCGATGTGGGGTAGTTGGTCTAGCTTCAAAGCTGGGTCTTCGTGGACTTTGAGAACGGCTGCGGATCCGTTGAACTCGGTGCCTGCGGGAGAGAAGAAGGGGTCGGTGAGGAAGGTGATGCCGTCGATGTCGAGGATGGCGGTGGCGGTGCCGATGTGGGTGATGGTGACTTTGTTCTTGAAGGTAGAGGCCGGCATGATTGTGATAGGGATGTAGAACGTCGTTTGAATAGTAGAGTGATGGTAGATCAGTACCTAAGTATCAACCTTCCATGCACTGGGACGCAGTGGTGGGCTTTATACCAAGCCGCGCCATGATAGAGATCCATTGTGACAAACGGCCTAGAGCAATTCGTACATCGGCGAACAGTGCGATGATTACTTGATCAGCAACGTTAATCAGCAAAAGAGAATTTTTCCATGATTTGATGAGTTCTGGTAGAGTGTAGAAACGTGATACCCGAGTAGTAGCGTTAGAGCCGCGAGCGCTAAGCCTAACGAAGCAGCGAACCCCGACCCACATGTCCTCCTCTCATTGGATAAACACAGCACCTACATCATTCCTGGGCGCTGTCTCAGCTGCCACCCTCCGCGTTGCGTCAACGCATCCCTAGCTATTTCCATCCTATACCAGATTTCATGGTAGTGCCCCACCCTAGGCTATTCAATTCGGGAGCAAAACCCCGAAGCCAATCGATACCTTCCGGTTGCGGTAACATATCGCGTTCCCTCACGGACGCGTACCTCTGCTATGAAGGTCAGGAAAAAGAATCTCTGTGATACTTGCCGCAAACGAAAACTTCAGGTATGTTTGCATGATTCTTTGGTTTTGGGGTGTATGTGCTAATGCTATTCGCTATTAAACAGTGCGATGGCAAGCGTCCAGCATGCACTCAATGTGTTTTCAGTAAGCGAACATGCGAAGGGTACCCGGACGCCTTATTTGTACCCTTCGACGCGACCAAAACGGCAGTAAAGCCAAGGGCGCGTCCGAAATCGGCTCCGCGGGCAAAGCTACCTCTCCCAGTGGATGCGCAATGTCCTTCCGATGCCGAATCGGGTCGTACTCAGGCTAAAGACGAGTCGACTAGACTTCCCCAGCAGGCCACCTTCACGTCCAGCGACTTACCACCTTCGCATGGTTCATATCCCCCAGATCCTTCCATCGTCCGAGAGAAAGTATCGTTGATCTTGCGCAATTTCATCCCCGTCCAAGAGCTACCATGTAATGCGACACATGCATCTGAACAATGCTCATGGTTTTGTGGCTCTTGGGCCAAGGCCCTCCCAGAACTGACTGCCGATATGACTGGACCGTATTCTCAGTGTTTATACTCGGCCGTGAGCGCTTTGGCACTTGCTATCACCGCTTATCGAGAGCGTAGAGACTGTCTCAACGCAGTAGTCGCGCAATACGAGGATAGTCTCCGTCTTTTGGGAGAAAGTCTTGCAGCTGTGGGAGACGCTTACAGGAGCGAACTTGTAGCCGCAGTTATGTGTTTGGCACTCACGGAGGTAACCTCGTCCCTCCCTCAAATGATTGTCTACTGCTCTTTCTGGCTGTCTTCTGAGTCATTTAGTTGAGCAAAGGCTAATGACATATGACAGGTGCTATCGCCAACCCAAGAGTCAAGTTGGCTGATACATGTGGAAGGTGTCAGCAAGATGTTTCAACTCATGCCACCAGAGCTCTTCGCATCGGGTATTGAGCATACTATGCTCATGGGCTTCAGACCGCTTTTAGTAAGTACAACGCCACGCGAGAAATGTTCATGGTCTGATATGTCTACGCTCTAGGTGCTCAAAGCCTTCATACTTCGGAAATCGACATTCTTCGCAGATGGTTCCTGGCTCACACTGCCCTTCCAACATCACAAAGGTGCCCCATTACAGAGTCTCTTAGGTGTCGCAGCACACATTCCTGGTCTCCTGGAGAAAATCGACGTCGTACTGCCTACATCCCCCGACGCCGCTGCCATTGGCACAGCCGGAGCAGCCAAACAACTCATCACAGAGCTCATGGAAAGCATATCCCAACTCAAGAACTGGCACAGCGGCTTTCTAGCAAACACCCTAGAACCAATCTCCTGTCGGCAGAGTGTAGAGCGCGATCTCGGCGGCACCTATGAGTCGCTCTGGTACCCAAGCCTCGGTATCGCCAACGTATTCGTCTACTTCTGGGCTTTCCAAATCCTCTGCCTCAAGGAGATTCAGGGCCTGTTGAACCGGTTTCAGGGACTAAAGCATGTGGTGCATGATGATGCGGCATACAGCTCCGAAGCGTTGCGGGACGAGTGCCTTGAGCTCAGTAAGTGCATATACAAGAGCATGGAGTATCTGCTGCAGGAAGACTTTATGCTGTATGGTATCTCGTCAGCTGGGTTTCCGTTGAGCATGGCGTGTGAGGCGCTCCAGGCGGATGCTGATGGGCAAGCGATTATGGCGACGCTAGATCAGTCGATTATTACTCGGGCCAGACTGAGAAACCTATGAGTCTGGGTATTTGAGCGTACTTATGAGGAAGTCAGAACAACGAAAATGCATGAGAACTCTCGGTCCTAGTACAATAGTGTATTGTATTGGTAGAAACAAAGATTAAGGTTACATTACAAGCATACATCATCATGAATATCGTCATCCCTCTCCTTCCCGTCCATCAAAGCATCAGTTATTACACTGCGCCCCGTCCGTCATATTGATCTCAGTATACACCAAATGGTCCTGGTTAATAAAGCCCGTAGCAGTCCCCTTGTTGCAATCGGGCGCTTCCTGACCAAAGCAGCGGTACGTTGTCCCAGCACTCTGAGTACCTAGAATGGGTGCAGTGTCTTGCTCATAGATCTCTATGCGCGTGTGCACGAAACCCATGGGGGTGAGCGGTAACCCGGGTACGCCGTCGATTCGGTGCGTGATGCGGATGAGCGTGCCGAGATTGGTGTCGCTCGCACCAGACAGCTTGTCAGTGTAGTCGGCGTACTGTTGGTTTCCGACGCGCAGCGAGCCCATGGTGTATGCGATTTTGATTGGTACGCCGTTTGCTTTGAGGTCGGTGTACGCGATACTTGCCAGACCACCTCCTAGGCTGTGACCAGTGATGACGGTCGAGTAGGACGGCTGCTCAGCACGTAGTTCGGCGAGAGCCTGGACAACACCAGCCTGAACAGATCGCCAGCCTTTCAGAACACCGCCGTGGACTTGGCAACCCGTGCATCCCGGTGCTGAATCAAAGGGCATGAAGAAGAAGTTGAAGTCTGTGCCGAAATCCTGTAGTGAAGATGAGCCGGCGAAGGAGACGACGAATTCTTTGGCGGCGTCATCTTGGAAGACGGCGACTTGGGTGTCGTTTACGATGTCGGACACGACTTTTCGGACGAGTTTTGAGCCAAAGGGAGGGCTTTTGCAGGTTCCGAAGCCGTAGACGAAGGTGGCGAGGGA